ATATATTCTGTTTGATTTCAGCGTCCAACATACAATTACATTTATTTGTAATGCGTTAAACATATCGATTTTTATCCTTGTTCACAATTAAGTAAAATGATTGTGTAACTTATCAAAAAGATGTACATTAATCATTTTGACGATGTGAAGTTAAGAAAACCTATTGATAAAATGTCACCTTTTTCATATGAATATTTTCCTAAAGTAACAATTATTATTAATCGCTGTCTTCAAATGTCTATAAATTGCCTGAACAGAATAATGTGTTGTGCAAACATAACGGACAAACATCTGTGCATACTTTGTGTAACACAATGTTAAAATTTACTAGTGGTATTATATCTTCTAAATTAAATTTTGCGAAACGACAACAGTATGTGAACAGTATGAACAAGATAGAAAATTGACATTAAAGTTGACTTTAATATCACTACTAATATGGCGCTAATTGAAGTTCCCACATTTCAAAACAGTCATGTCAGAGGCATTTAGATGTCTTCTGATTTTTAATATTTTTTAAACACAGCTTTGAAACCACTTTTAGTTAATATATGTATATATATATTCCTTTCTTACTGATAAAATGTTTTCTGAAATTTTGTTCTGTTTATGTGATGAAACGTACAAATTCTCATTCTGCAGTATAATTTTATAACTTTAAACTGAGTGTATGACATCAGTAGATCCAAAGAAGTGAGTTTACGCTTCAACAGAAATGTCGCATAATACACCACTGAGGTGAGTGTAGGAGTTTGGATATATTAAAAATAAAAAAAATAGAATGGCTACAACGACTTCAAAATGATAGAAAATTTGTATAAATTTTCCTCTTCCACAGTTCTGTAGTCGCTGTATGGCAAATTTTGTGTGAGATTCACTCAACTAAGTTTACCTTGATTCAGACAATCAGCCTGAGTTTCTACTTTTTGTAAGTGGACTTTGTTGTTGGAAGGTAGCAACCAAGAAGCTTAGGTTATCTAGTTCCTTACATCAATGGACCTATGACGGTTAGAATAATTTTTAGTTCAAAATGCAAACGGATAGTGGAATTTGGGTCAGTATACCAAAATAGCACAAAAGTATGGTAGGAAAGGAGGAAGGATTAAAAAACATACAGAGATATGATAAATTATTCGGATTTTTAAAATCCGAGTAATTTTGCTGAAGAAACTGTGTCTTACGCAGTGAAATGTTCAGAAAAAAATCTTGTTTTAATTTTTTCTTAAACACGCTGGGACTATTTTAAGTAATTTATAATGATTCAAAAGAATGGTTAATGAACGAAGAGTACTATTTTCTGACTTTGGGATTATCAGTCCCTCATCATTCATCAGTTCTTTTAGTTCTTCTCTGTGCTCCTTTGTCAAGAAATGTTTACTGTCGCATTTGAGGTTTTTGTACTGATAACAACAATCCACAAGACTGGATTTGAAACGTTCTAGTTCCAATGTGGACGATGGAACTAGATCCCTTGTTTGACTAAATAGGTTTTCGAATTCAATATCAATATCTAAGTGATTAACTCGTTTCGGTGTATCACGAAATCGAAGGCCAAGGGAAAGAACTTCAAGTTGCATCTTATTTAATTCAATACTATTATAATGGTAGACGTGCCTTTTAGTATCTGCTGGAAATTTACCAGCCTCTGGCTTCCTTTCAAGCCTGTTCATAAGCTCTTTCTGCTTCTTCTGTCAAACAAGGGATTTAGTTCCATCATCCACATTGGAACTAGAACGCTTCAAATCCAGACTAGTGGATTGTTGTTATCAGTACAAAAACCTCAAATGCGACAGTAAACATTTCTTGACAAAGGAGCACAGAGAAGAACTAAAAGAACTGATGAATGATGAGAGACTGATAATCACAAAGCCAGAAAATAGTACTCTTCTCTCAGTACCCATTCTTTTGAAAATTTTAATGGACATTTTTAATCAGTTATAATGATTCAGTCTGACTTGATGCTCAAATTATACTGGGGAATTCATGATATATATGACCAACATCATCTCAACTACAGGCGGAACTGACGAGGATATCAAAGCCAGAATCGGAAAAGCAAGACAAGCTTTCATTACTCTCAAATCTGTGTGGAGGTCAACAGCATTCAGCATCAAAAATAAGATCCGGATTTTCAACTCCAATGTAAAGTCAGTGCTACTCGCTATACGGATCAGAGACTTGGCGCGTCATAAAGAGCATCTCAAACAAGATACAGACCTTCATTAACAGTTGTCTTCGCACAATACTCAAGATCAGATGGCCGGCCAGAAAAGATCAGCAACAGAGATCTCTGGGAGCGAACCAATCAGGAACCGATTGTGAAACAAATACGCAGGAAGAAATGGAGATGGGTTGGCCATACGCTGAGGAAACCATCAAGTGACATCAGTAGACAAGACCTCGAGTGGAACCCAAAAGGGAGGCGGCGAGTTGGTCGTCCAAGGGTGACTTGGAGGAGGTCATGCGAGGAGGAGATGAAAGCATGTGGACAGACCTGGAGCAGGGTGAAAAAGTTGTTAGAAAACCGAAGGCAATGGAGGTGCGCAGCTGAAGCCCTATGTTCCTCTAGGAACTAAAGGATACAATAATAAATAATAAAATAATGACCAACATGTTTATATAGATGTGTTGTTAAGATATAATAATGACAGAATGCTTGCATAAGTACACTGGGGGAGTTGACAGCTATTTTTAAATAAACAAAACACTGCAAACCAACAATTGAATATCACTAGCAACTAGCCCTATTCAAGTAGGTAGTGTTCTGGTGGGAATTCGTGACCAGTGGGGTACAGCAGGTCATGTGTGAGAACAAATGCTCACCGATGACATTCGCTAGTGCCAGTCGCGCCAGATCATGCATTTGGAGACGTTGAAATTCATAGATTGGCCTTTAGATGGGGTCCTAGTGGCTTAATGGTGTATGAGCTCACCTGGTAACTGGAGGGTTATGGGTCCAAACTATTGTAGTGTGCGTACTACTGAAGGGCCCAAAACTAAGCTGGCGATACAGCTGTACAGTACTCCGAGGTTTTCCAATGGTCATGATGAAATCACGTAACCAACCAATCAAATCCTTGAAAACTAACTCTTGAAAACGAAACAGTGTTGTGTTCCTCAGTCCTGCCTTTTTTATAAACTTCATTTTTTTCGGTTATGCTTAAAAGGAACATCTAAAAGTATTACAAATATTGTATCATGGTTTTCAGTAAAGTGAATTCTTATATTACGTTCATTGTGTTAAATATACCAACTGCTGCTTCTTTTTTAGTATTTCACTTTTGTCCTTAATGATACTACACATTTCATATTCTACTTGTTTCTCTTTGGAATAGCCATTAACTTCAAACTATATATTTTAGTTGATTTACGCATGAATGATGTTGTATATTGTTTTACTTAGGTAATGTGTAATCTAAAAGATACTTTTCGCTCATTCTAAAACCAGCATACACTTTCAATAAGACTGTTTATGCAGTCGATCTAAAAACAGAACAAAAATAATCAGTCTGCCTACGTTGAATAACCAGTTTATTTTTTAAGCTAAGTGCTTTATTTAGCGCTAATACTTTTTCTTATAACATTTTTGACTATGTGAAAATTCATGTTAATACCAAGAATCATGACAACTGCTGTCTGTTTTTTTATACTGAATATATCCATTTCGACTTTCATCACCATAGAAAAGAAAGGTAAATCGTATTAATTAAAGTCAAAAAGCGTGAAGAGTTTATCGCCTACCCAGTATGGCGTGTTAAAAAACCTTAGTGTTGATGCTGGCTGAATTCTACCAGTCATTTTCGCACATTAAAATCGTCGATGTGCCGAAAGCCAACATTTACAGGGTAGTACACTAACTTAAGCAGCTGGGTACCTATGGGTACCTGCACTCCCTATGCTCCAGAATTTGGAAAATCTTCTATATAGATACGGTTGACATAGAACAAGAAAGCCTGCGCACAACTGTCTCATATGATGGATATCCCAGAAAGTTTATCGACAGAAACGCCAAGAAGGAAACCGTCCCTAGACAAGTCACAGTGCCAAAGAAGACACTGTTTATAAGTTTGGCATTAAAGGATTACACTGTTTTTGAAGTAATTAAAAGTCATTTATCGAAGCGTATTTCACGGTGTTTTTACGCAGCTGACTCGTATTTAGCATTAACCAGCCGAAATATTGTTTGACAATGAGCAAAGCATAAATTACCGCTTATGTCCACCTCTGTGTGCGTATACTCACTTACATGCTGGTGTGGAGCTGATTACATTGGATATTGTAAGCGTGTAGCTGTGAACACTACCCAGTTTGGTTAATGAAAGTTGAGCAAAGGACAACACGGTCTTCAATCTGTGAACACCTACTGGAGTTAGGTCACTCAACCCCACGTGATTTAACCTTTACAGTTACGTACAGTACCAAATCCAGCCACTCCGAAAGGTTACGTTTTCTCCACTTATGTATGGCCAAAGCTCTAGCTATACATGAAAATAAGCCAGAATTATGTGTTCAAAAATGTTTTGTTAGACCTCTTTCTTTACCTTACCTTCTTTCGCACTTGAATTCATTCCACTTGACTTCATCTTTGCCGTCTTTACTGTTATCATCATCGTACTGTTAATTTTTTAGACAACACTTGGCCAACTTCTCCAAAATCTTAGCGCCAATACACTTATGTGGTAATCTCTAAAAGTACTGTGATTCATCCACTTCAACTGTAACCAATTAGTACATCGTTTTAGTTATCTTTATTCTTATCATAAGTATTCTTCCTAGGCTAGGCTCTTTAATGTGATGTTAAGTGGCTGATGGTAATCAAAAGGATGTCCTACCAGGTGAAGAAAAGTACTAAATGTAAATTTAAAATTAAGCCGAAAGTTTACCTTCTGTTACCGGAAATAGACTATCCTTTTGAGAGCTGCATTTTTCTAGTGGATTTAATATCACCCAAGTTAATTGAGGCAGTTTAAATATTAACATACATATATATTTATACGTACTTTAGCCTTTAAGGAACACAGCGCTTCCTTCCACGACTTCTTCTTTGAATTTTTTATAGGAATCTCTATTTTTCCGGTAGCCATCTAGATAAGTTAAGAAGAGAAAAAAAATAATCATTTCAATGTGGCACATAACGTTAAACTGATGTAATAAACTAATTAACTAAGTGCATTAAAATAAATATAAAAGTTAAATTTTTGCGAGTATACCTCAGTAGGCTAATGTGAAGAAATTTACTACACTGCCTATACATTTGTTATTTAAGTATTGGTTTGTAGGGATTTGATTGATTGGTTACAGGATATCATCATGAACTAACATCGGCTAAAGAACCAGTGAAAATTCTGGGAGTACTGGTTTTCTAATAGATGTCAGTTCACGATGATATCCTTTAACCAATCGATGAAATCTCTACAAACTGACACTTGAATATCAATTTGATGCTCACTGGTGACTGGCCGTATTCAGGAAGTTAGTTCTGGTGGGAATTTGTGACCATTAAAGTACAGCCGTTAGGGTGTGAGGACAAATACTCTTCGATGATGTCCGCTAGTGGCCGAGTCTTATCATGAATTGGCGGAAGTTGGGATTCATGGAGTAGCCATTGGATGGGGTTCCAATGGCTTAATGGTCTACGAGCTCGCCTTGTAACTAGAAGGTCCTGGGTCCAAACCCCTGTGATATGTACGTACTATTGGAAGGTCCGAAACCAGACTGACGAAACATATGTCCCGTACTCTAAGGTTTTCCAATGTTTCTCTAATCGATGTCAGCTCATAATGAAATGCTCTACACATTTACTATTAGGTATAATTTTTGAGAACTATTTGAAAGTTTTACCTGTGTGGAACACTATGATCACTTTCGATAAACATCATATAAGTTTTAAAGGACTAAAAAAGCATATGTTTTGAAGCCTAAAAGTATTTTACTTTGGAAAAAGAATCCATGATGACATCTGCAATCATGTTATTTTTGGTATTTACATGTAAGTTGACCAAATAAAAATTAAACCTCATAAATTTAAAAAGACTGAGGAAAATTATCTTTCATCATCTTGGCGACGATTTGTGTTAGATAAAATAAAAAATGACCATCTTCTTCATTTAGTATTTTAAAGTATGACGCTAAACCTGCTTTACTTAGTTCTACTTTCATTCTGTCTTTTAATACAGTCTCCTAAATTGTTGGGATTTCTGTGCAATTAACCTGATATGCTTATGACTACTAAATTATGGTTGAGGCTCTATCCAGCTATTAATACTCTATTTTTGTATGAGATCAAATAAACTAATCTAATTTGGAATCATAGTATATCAACAAGGTAGAAAGAATCCTTCGCCTAAATTCATACAACTAAGTTTCGCTTGGTAGTCAGAGGCTTAAACTATAAATGCAGTAAATTTTAAATAAGGTATCCTAAAAGATTTAGTATTTTAGCTTAAGTCTTACTCAAATCTCACTGCATAACCGAGAGTATGAAAAGTAAGCTTTATCTTTGCGAAAATTATGTTAATACTTAAAAAATGAATGACTAAAATTCTATATTTCATCCAGTTCGTATTTTCATTGATATTACACAAAACCGACCTGGAGATATTAAAACTTTTAAATATGCTGCTTTTAGTGCTATATGAAATCTGTTCACTTTAATACCTGAAAAAAGTTACCTACTGTTCACTGTCAAGTATTTAGACTAAGATTTCTGATATTAGAAAATACTCTTGGCCCTGTAGTAAATATATTGGTGTTTTGACTTTCAGTGAGTCTATGAGCCCCTTGTCAATATATGCCAGAATAAGATGGTTGGAGGCAATCCTCAGGAAGCCTTGAACCTACCTTTTGTGCTGGTTTCCACGCACCAGTCAGTGAGGCGTACCTCCAAAATTGAAGGAGCTCATGTCTCTTTTGAGATTAAAACCCGCGTCAACAAGTGATTCAGTCATAGACGTTACCACTGAACTATTCGAGCTCGTGATAGACCTCCTGCAGGACTGCATTGGATACTGTGATTGGACACTAGTAACTAGTGTGATGTGTCTAGTCCTTTCTTTGGTACAGACTAATTTCTGTCAGTCAGGTTAGCAATGCAGCCACCATTCTAAGTAGCTCGCCATCACGGTGCACATTGATTTGAAGATAATACATGGTTGGCGGCGATCGGCAGAAAGCCATCTGATATCATCAAATCGTTGTGCATCGTTTTGGCGAGCTACCTAGAATGGTGGCCACATGGTAGATCTGACTGACAGATATCAGTCTGCACCAAATAAAAGACCAGGCAAATCACACTATTTACTAGCGTCCAATCAAAATATACCAGAATTATAATTTTGTCGTTATTTAATAGAATTTACTAATCAAATATAATTATAGCATAAAAGTTATCTTTACTAGAAATAGTTGGGTAACATCTGCTTGCCTACGTAGAAAATATCAGCATTATCAGTTTATTATTTTTATTTCATTCGTTTATGTATCCAGGGGAACATAGGGCTTTAAGCTAGACCTATAAAGTTTCGGCAGTAGCGGTGTTTATTTTCACGGGTTGAAATTACTATCCTCATGTCTGGCCCTCCTTATTCACCAACCTTACTACTGGCTTAGTGAGGCTGAGGAGTACTTTGGCCAAGGATCGAGCCTAGGACCATATGCATAATTGGCGAGTGCTCTATCGCCGAACCACTGACGCCAGAAAATATCAGACCCTCAGTTAAATAAGCGTTATACAACTAAGTTACCATTGTGAAAACGAACCCCCTACATGTAGGCAAATACTGAGTCCTTAGTAAGCGAAAACAAGCCTCTGTTCAAGGTGTTCCCAATAAAACAAACTGAAAGATTAATAGAATTCAATGATTTGACAGGTAACTCAGTCGCCAGTTTCAAAATGACGGCATTTGCATTTTTTCTTTTATTATTATAATAAACATTTATATTATAAGCCCAAATGGAAAAAGTGACGTAATATCTTGTGCACTGACGTGTGTGCACTGAATAAAAAACTATTTGTAGATAGTTAGAATAAACTTTAGAATTCTCACTGCGCTTTCTTGATGAACGCCGATAAATTCAACACAACAATTATCTTTAACAACCACTGTGAAGAAGCATAAACACAGTCATCTGGCTGAGGCGTTATTTATTTATGCCAATTAAGCTATATACAAGTAGAAAAGGGGTTTCATTTTCTTTCATTTTTTTTTCAATAAATCCCAAAATGTTAACTGTATTTTTTGTTATCTGTAAGAAATTAATGAAATCCCACCTGATCTAAATTATATTTGGTAAAGTGGAATGATAAACGAAATTGAGATATGGTTTTCTTTTGAAAGCAAGTGCATGCAAACAGGAATGCTGTACACAGAAGAGAATTTTCCAAACTGATGGATAAGTAAAAATATGAAGCAAGAGAACACAGACGTCTTCATGCAATAGATATTAAACTAAATAGGTGGTGTATGCTGCATTATTTGACTAGAAGTCAATTGAAAAGCATCTGTTTTTATATGTTTAACATGATGAGATATTCAGAGAAATATCAGGAAATTTTTTTGGAATGCATTACATATTTCATCTTCGTTCTTAACATGATTAGAAATGTTTTCAAGGTAGTTTTTTTTCAGAAGAATGCATACTGAACAAAGAATACTGTTTTCCATCACTTCATCATGCTTTACAGTTATATATATAAATATATCTTTATATATTCTTATATATAATGGTGACCGAATGAAACAGTGTTATGAAAAACATTAATGTTCTTTAAAAAACATCGAATAAATAATATTATTAGATTACACCTGAATAGCATCAACATAAAGTAAGCTGAATGTCAGAAAAAATAGCAGAGATAATTATACAAATTCATGACAGTAGTAGTGACTGGACTTGATCCTTTTGAACACAAAGCACTGGTTCTTTGAGACGAACCGCGATAGCCTCTGATGTTGGAAGCATGCGGTGCTCCGAAGTTTTGACAGCTTATTTGGCGCCAGGTAGATTATAGAGAAAGATTATTCAACGCTGGCTTAATGGCTGGATTCCACCAGATGGTCAAATATCGAACTGTTAACAGTTTTACCTACACCTTTACATAGCCATACTCATAGATATTCTCGAGAACGAAAAATCAAGTTCCTAGAGAAACGGCCAATATAACTCACCCCACAAGCGCTGTCGACTTGGTTGATACAATTTGAAGTGGCTAGTCTAGTCAAGGTACTTCATCTTTCAGTCTAGGAATCACCATCAGTCGTGTAGACAATAAGACGTGTATTTCGTCAGCATTTAAAGTTCCTTGAACCGATTTTATTTTTGTCCTCGTAATTATCTCACTTGGTATATCACTCTTGAATCGCAGTCGTAGACAAAGTTGCTTCTTGTTTACAGATAGTGAGTAGTCCTCTTCCTCTTTCTTTGTCATGTGTTTCCTCCTAAATTTGTCGCGATAGCCATTTTCGATCAAAGTATCATATACAATGCCTAATTCATCTTCAATTACTTCTTCTCAACATATGGCTGTAACTCTGTGACTGAGGGTCTTCACTAAGTTTCTTTTGTACTTGAGAGGAACGAAGCAGTGAAAATGTGTATATTGTCCTGTCCAAGTACTTTTTCTATACAAAATTCTTTTTATGCTACCATCTGGTCTTTTTGTAAAAAGGAAATCCAGGAAGGCAATTCTGTTTTAGGATGGCACTTCAGATGTGAAAATCATAGCTCAATGTATTTTATTCAAGTCCTATCCGAATCCTTATCACAAAGAATGAGGGTGTCATCCATATTCCGGAAATAAAGTGATAACTTTCTGATAAGGTTGTTCAAAGGTCCGTTTCTAGTTTGCTTAGAAAGAAATCAGCCAAAATGAGACCCAATAGGGAGCTCATAGCCATCCCATCTTCTTGCCTCTAAAGCATGCCGTTGAATTTGAAATTTACATCCATGATGCACCTTAATAACAATTCTTTCATGATTTCAGTACGAATCCCAATGTTCATCGACTGGTTATCCACTTGTCCACACGTGTAGTTAACTGTTTCTACTATAGGTACATTTGTGAATATACATGTTATGTCCAGAG